CACACACCAGTCTCTCTGTCAAAGCTTATACACACACAGTGACCCTAAATGTATTTAGACACTTCAGCCACACTTAGTAAATATCTTCATATTAGTTAATTAAAAAATCAATTATATAAAAAGTGCCATTAATTGCAAAGAAACGGCATAAATACAGACAATCTGTCTGATTTGACTGAGTTAATCTTCACTATACATAAACTGGATCATAAACTGCTTGATTTAATCATTTAGGCCTATTTGAGGAGGACTAAACATATTAAGAAGTTAATATTAATATAATAATACCTGACGGAGATCGAGGCCTCGTTTCTCTTTTATTAATCCTGCTGCTCGATTTCCCGACACTCGATTTCCAGACCACAAGCAAACCTTATCCACAAACAAACAAAACAACACATCAAACTTTTGCTTACTATTTCAATAGCAAAACCCAGCAGGCGGGCGTTCATGCAGAACAAGTTTACACGGTAAAGACCCGCTGCGGTCTCTGTTTACAGCATGACACTTCCGTGTACAGGCGCGTTGCCATAGCAATGTAAAAAAGCGCCGTAAAAAAAAAAAGAAAAGCCCGGGAAGAAAAAAAAAAACAACTCTGTCAAAGCTTATACACACACAGTGACCCTAAATGTATTTAGACACTTCAGCCACACTTAGTAAATATCTTCATATTAGTTAATTAAAAAATCAATTATATAAAAAGTGCCATTAATTGCAAAGAAACGGCATAAATACAGACAATCTGTCTGATTTGACTGAGTTAATCTTCACTATACATAAACTGGATCATAAACTGCTTGATTTAATCATTTAGGCCTATTTGAGAAGGACTAAACATATTAAGAAGTTAATATTAATATAATAATACCTGACGGAGATCGAGGCCTCGTTTCTCTTTTATTAATCCTGCTGCTCGATTTCCCGACACTCGATTTCCAGACCACAAGCAAACCTTATCCACAAACAAACAAAACAACACATCAAACTTTTGCTTACTATTTCAATAGCAAAACCCAGCAGGCGGGCGTTCATGCAGAACAAGTTTACACGGTAAAGACCCGCTGCGGTCTCTGTTTACAGCATGACACTTCCGTGTACAGGCGCGTTGCCATAGCAATGTAAAAAAGCGCCGTAAAAAAAAAAAGAAAAGCCCGGGAAGAAAAAAACAAACAAAACAAAAAAATCTATATATGTACGTATAAAAAAAAATATATATACAAATATAAATAAATATATACACGGAAGTTTGTATATATATATATATATAAAAGAAAAGAGCGAAAAAACGAAACAATATATATACAGGGCCACCCTTGGGGGGGGGGGGGGGGGTCATATATCTACACAAATTATTTGAGAATTAACAGAGGTTTAGATGTTTTATTGAACACGTTTTGTTTGACCTCACCATCGTGGCGATCAGTGTTTGCTTTAGTTGGGCTCTTGACCCTTCACTTTTTAACACCAGCTTGTTTGGTTGCTGTAACTGTGTTTGTAAAGCACATTTGTTATAGCAATAAAAGTGTAGAAAAATCATGCTTAAGTGGTTCTGGTTAATTATTGATTATGGTGTTATCATTTTGTGGCCTGATTCACTGATCTCTTTCAGTGGCTGATCTTTAAAACCATAGTGTGGGTTTTCACTGGTTTAATATTATTTACGATAGCTATATGATCCTACACGCTGAGATGATGGACAAATATGATGGCTCTTGAAATCTTCTTATTTTCAAAGGCTTTAAAACATGGCATCTTTCAGACACACAGAGACATCAAGAATCAGCGTATGAATCTCAACAATGGTGACAATCAAAAGCTTCATGCTGCAATGCATGCTGAGTACCACCCATACTCCCAGCATGCATTGCGGCATGAATAAATTATGCTGCTCAATTGTTTGTTGAATTCTTACTATGTGCTTGTATTTTTGCTTTTGTGTTTGTGTTGAGTTTTCGTAGCATGCTTTGTGATGTTCAGAACTGATCTGTTTATTTATTTTGTGGATTGTCACTGTAAGGGAAACAGGTCAAGGGAATCATTTAAGATTTTATAGGGAGTTTGGACAGAAGATTGTCACCGTTGTTGAGATTCATACGCTGATTCTTCATGAGTGTGTTTCATAGCATAATAGAACTTCTTTTTTTTGAGTGATGTGTGTGATCTTTCATAATAGCCTGCTTGTTCTTTTGCTCTAATATGTTACCATAACATCACTTTGGTACAAAGACAGACTCTAGACAAAATCAGTGAACCGGTTTTTACAGATGGTTATGTCATTTGCAAATCACAACCATCAGCATTACATATCGTGCTTTTGCCCTTTTTTACCCCAACAAAAGTGTTGAAAAACACAACAGTTAAAGCAACCAATTAAAGATAATGATAAAAAATCAAGGTTCAAGATCCCAACTAAAGCAAACACTGATCTCCATCATGGTAGTGTCCCAAAACAACAACATCTAAACCTCTGTTAATTTTCAATAAGCACTTCTGTACACATCTGACAGAAATAGCATCAGTCTGGTTAGTAATGTGAAGCTGGTGATGCTGTTTTACAAGTTGTTTAATCAGATCTTGAGAGATTTAATGTCTTTTATTTCAGTTGATATCATCTAAGGCTGTGGCTGAAGTCAGTTGTAGTTCTTGTGTTTCTCTTTTCTTCAGTGATTCTGCATGTTAACAGCAGCTGTTCATTACTAATGATCAATCAGCACTTAATTAATCACATAATTATCTCATTAACTTTAACACTGCTTCAGTGTTACTCAGTACCTTACTGGCAACCCTGCTGCCAGTAAATTACTGTTATTTAACTGCACAATTGTTTACAGTGTAGCAGTGATATGAAAAGCCATGTTTCTGAATGACAGAACCTAGAGATACCATGTAGACAGAGAAGAGAAGTGGTCCAAGTACTGAGCCCTGAGGCACACTAGTAGCTAGATGTGGCGACGTAGATGTTTTATGTAGTGTTTACCACAAAATCATTTTTATCAGTGAGAGCTCCGATTCAAATTAGGGACAATAAAAAGCGTAAAACAACACAGAAAAACGATTGACATGTTTTCAATTTCTTAGTTGTTTTGATATTTCAAACACTCCCAACACTCCTATTAAAACACTTCAAACACAGAACCCCTTCAGACTGCATTTATTTATTAATTAATTAATTTATTTATTTTGGCCTTTTTATTAAACATAGGCCCATCTATACTTGTGTCACTTTAAATAAAAAGTGTCTTCCTAATGCATAAAAGTAAAAAAGCCACGTTTGGTTCAGGTAGGCTAACTTTGTATTGTATATTGTATTGTAAATTTATAATATTTGTAAAAAACATAATATTTTCTAATATGTTTGAAAGTGGATTTTGAACGATTTTTCCTCTCTCGGACATCCTTAAATGCAAAACACTGAATTCATTGATAATAATTAAATATATTCCCTTTTATTCCATAATGCTTTCCGTTGAAATGTGTTTTATTTGTTTTAATTTCCTCTGACTTAATTAAACCGCAGCAAACATCCTTTATCGCAGCTGTAGGCTGTACTCATCAGGAGAGTTTGGCCTGGATCATCGTGCACTGCTCCGGGAAACGTTTTGTTTCTTGCGGGTACACGCCTGTCAACCATCGCGATGACGTGCACGCGGGTATATAAGTGGCGCGCCGGCCGAGCGCACAGAAGTACTTATCCGGAGCGCGCAGGTAGAGGTGGATGTATCCAATAAATCTCAAACAGATCTGCCTGTCTTCGATGTGTCCCGTCATGGACCAGGGTGTTAAAGCGGCTGCAGCCCTGCAGGTGATCCAGCACCAGTCTCGCTCTCTGCCCGCAACCAGCTCGCCCAGCGTCCTGCTCGCGTACAAAAACGCGACGCAGAGACTCGGCGCGACCGGGTTCAAAGTCAGCACGCTCTCCAAAGCGGGAATGGGAATCCTGAAACTGGCCACGACGCAGCTGAAACAGCAGGAGAAGAAGGCGAGGGTTGTGCGCGCGTCCAGTCTGGGTAAAGCGCACCCGGCGTCCGTCGAGAAAAAGTCCCCTGTGGACCAACTGACCGCGCTGGTCCTGCACGGCCTCCAGCCGCTGGCGAACGAGTCCCATGCTACCAAACCGCAGAACTGCAGGCGCATCGTGGTGCTCGGCGCGCCGCGGGTCGGGAAGACCTCCATCCTGCGCCGCTTCCTGCGCGACGGCTTTGAGGAGCGATACGAGCCAACAAGTGAAGATTTCCACCGGAAACTCTACCAAATTCGCGGAGAAACTTACCAGATAGACATACTGGACGCGTCCGGGGAGAGGAGCTTCCCTGCCAAGAGGAGACTGTCCATCCTGACCGGTGCGTATAAGAGTTTGGTCCTTCAGATCAGTGTGTCAGTGGTTTTCCGAAGCACAGTTAAACAGATGAAGAGCTAGACAGTAAAAAGATAGTTGTGAATTCAAACAGTGTTCTGCTTTCTGATTCCGAACTGATTGCACTATATCTTATGTATAATCGTTTTCTTAAATTCATTTTAAACCTCTTAAATCAATTTTTTAAATCATTTTCAAAGTTTTTCAATTCCTTGTTTTATTGTTGTGATTATTTTTTTCTTTTCTTTTATGTAAAGCACTTTGAATTACCATTGTGTATGAAATGTGCTATATAAATAAACTTGCCTTGCCTTGCCTTGATTCTGATTTCAACTTTTTTTGTGTGTAGGCCTATTTACTCAATTTTATTGGTAAAACCGAATGAATGCACCGAATGGGATTTTTTTTTTAAATAAAAAAAGTACCAAGGACAAACTTTTGAACATATGAAACATATAATTATGCAATTTATGCCATAAATACGTTTATATTATTATAAACCCCTTTAAATAAAATAATTGATGCCGCTACTACTTTAAGCAGGAGTGTCAAACTTTGGCTTATACTTTGAGTTGGATAAACTTTATGTCTGACTTTTTTTCTTAATAGCCTAAAATATGTTTCCATATGGCAGATATTGACCCTCTCTCGTCTCGTCTGTTTTTCAGGTGATATATTCCTGCTCGTGTTCAGTCTTGACGACCGCAGCTCGTTTGAGGAAGTGCGCGCTCTGCACGCCGAGATTGTCGCTGCCAAAATGGCCTTGCACCCATCCAAACAGAAAGTCTGCGTGCCGACGGTAGCCTGCGCGAACAAAGTGGACTTGCCCTCCGAGCAGCGCGCGGTGTCCCGGTCTGAGGTGCTCCGTGCGCTCGGTAACGGCTGCGCTCTGTTCGAGACCTCCGCCAAAGACGGTGTGAATATGAAGCAGGTGTTCGAGGCGCTGGCGCGGCGCGGCGGGCTCCCCCTCGAGACCGGACCCTCGCAGCACCGGAAAGTGTCCATCCGCTCGTACCAGGCGCTCCGGGCGGCGCGGCAGGCGGAGAAAGGGAGCAAGGCGGCGGTGTGCGACGCTCCGTGCGGGGCGCTCTACCCGCTGGCCCGCAGACCGAGCTTCGGCACCGACCTGCGGCTGGTCCTCGGGCCCAAAGGCAACCGAAAACAGAGCAAAGCACGGGACAAGTGTCAGATTCAGTGAAACAATACGGACTGAGAGAAAGAGAACTGCTTTCAACAAAAAACACTGACAATATTGCAGATATTTTTTATGTGTTTACCAGAAAACAACATATTCCAACCTTTTTCATCCTTTGGAGATGGATCAGAACCCTTTTTATATATTATATATAAAATTAACCATTGCATTCTGCAATTGCATTTCAATGCATCCTGGCTTATAAAATGCATGATGATGTTGCATATGCTGACATTGCAAAGCCATTACATTTTTTTACTGATGTACAGACTTGTATACATTTGAATTCTGCTCAATGCATTTTAATGAGGCAGGGACAGCTACTTTAGCCACTTTAATGTTGGCTGAAGTTGATTTAATCATGCTTTAACAGCAGACAGTAATTGAAGGATCCCCATTACAAACTTGAAGGCCATATTTAATAACTTGAATGAAAATACTGTGATTATGTCTGAGACATGACGAGCTGAACTGACTTCAGGCCACTCTTATCGCTCATTTTTACGGTGTCATTCTGATAAAAATCCACTGAGAATGATTGAAAAGCCTGTTGAGCGGCTGGTTTGTTGAATGCATGTGATGCTGTATAATATGTGTAGACATTTTAAATAAAACATTTTCATACAAAGCCTGACGTCACGAGTCAGTCTAATGATTTGGTGAAAAGCTGTACTAACAGATGCTGCTGCACCTGCATAATGAAGTAGAGAGAAGTGTGTCACGATTCATTCATTCAAAATAAATAAATTATTCAGAGCCTGTGGGCGTTTAGATGAAACAATAGAGCCTTGACTCTCTCTGATTGCATAAAACCCTTTACATGCTGCTGCCACACAAGATGTGCTGTGAGAAAGAGAGGACATCTATCTATCTATCTATCTATCTATCTATCTATCTATCTATCTATCTCTATCAGATTCCAAAAAGTTAGAATGCTGTGTAAAATGTAAATAAAAGCATAATGCAACAATTTACAAAAGCTGTATTTAATTCACTATACACGTTAAATGAACATTTTTGAATCTGATGATCACAACACGTCTCAAAAAAAGTTTGGACTGGTGCAACAAAAGGCTGGAAAAGTAAGTGCTACTAAAAAAAAAAAAAACAGCTGGAGGAACATTTAGCAAATAATTAGGTTAATTGGTAACAGATCAGTAACATGACTGGGGATAAAAAGAGTATCGACAGAGACTCTCAGATGTAAAGATGGACAGAGATTCACCAATCTGTGAAAAAAACAATCTGTCAACAAATTGTGGAACGATTTCTGAATAATGTTCCCAGAGCTGATTACAGATTACAAGATGAAAACTGTAGTAACATAATCTATGTTACTCATTTTAGGTAATGTATTCTGTCTACTTCTTTTTTTTTTTTGCTGTGCCATGCACAAATGCAGGTTAAAGCCATAGACTGTATAAAAACATGGACATGGTGTCCATGACGTCACCCGTAGGTTTCCAAAGAGCGGTTCTGAAGCTCAAAGTGGGCAGAGCCGGCAGCTGCCATCTTGACAGCACGTCACCGCGCATCACTCCTGGATAATTGAAAATGGGCTAGCTGGTTGCTGAAACCACGCCCACCTAGCTCGACGGTGGTAACAGCAGCGGCAATCCACCTGTCACTCAAGTGGCCACGCCCTTAATTATGCAGAACTTTAAGGCTTAATATAATTTAAAAGGATGAGTTATAAAAAAATTTACCCCCCTCACAGTTGTCATGAAGGGCAAAATTAGCTATATAGACCAAAACCACTTTTTGTACCAGACTGTAAACATATTTTTTGCTGCTGTAAAGTTGGGCATTTTAACATGGGGAGTCTATGGGATTGACTCCCTTTTGGATGAATCGATGAATTGCAGTTTTAGTCACTTCCGTGTTGGCTTCACGAGAGAGAGAGCGGGAGGTTGCCGCTTGGTTAAAGCTCATGTAAAGAAGCCATATGTGAACGTGATCCAGAAACACTGCCATGTTCTCTGGGCCAAAGCTCATTTAAAATGTCCTGAGTTAAAATGAATAACTGTTCTGTGGCCAGACGAATCGAAATGTGAAATTCTTTTTGGAAACCGTTTTCATTTGCATTTCTGTATATGTGTGTCATGTTCAGGCCCATCATCCTCTCATTGGTTTGTTTGGATGTTTCTGTCATGCTCAGCTGTGATCTGTGTTCGTTCAGTCTGTGGAGGGTTAATGTGCCTGAGAGCGAATCGGATATTTGTTTGTGTGCTGGCTGACATTTATGCAGATGAATAGATTGAAAGGCAGTGGAGGCTGTTATCCGTCTTCTAGAGAGTCGATTCATAATTACACCTATTCAGATCTGTGGACACACTTTTTATCTCAACAGGCAGAAATGATGGTTCAGATACATGAGAGCGCCGAGTTGAAACACCGACCCACAGAGAGGAGGAAGATCGGTGTTTCACTTTCTAAAGGTCATCCTGATGTTTCCATCGAACCTGAGCATGTATGATATGGCATACAACTATAATACTTGCTCTATTTCTGAAATATGCAGTATGTTTACATATTTTTACATTTACATATGGAATACATAAACTACATTTCCCTAAATGGGTAGCAAACAACTAAAAAACCTATACCACCCATATTTGACAAAAAATATTTTTGTTAGTAAAGTAAAGCAAACCAAAGTAAAGCAAAGCAAAGTAAAGTAAAATAAAAGTTTGTTGTAAGCATGGCTTAAGGAAATATATTTTTTAGGTTGAAATAATTTTTCATTTAAACCTATTGACAAAATTAATTACAAGTTGTACTTTAAACTATATATTTACAGTAGATAGAAAATGGCCAAAATATACGAGTAAATAAAAGACTAAAACTTATCAAATATATATTTAAATATATTTTAAAAAGCTCTATTAGCAACATATTTTTGGCACTTTTTTATATTTTGACTTATATATTCAAAAATGAATCTTAAAATACACATTTTGCTTACTGCATATTATATTTTATTGTAAAAGCAGTATTGTTTGTAAAGCAGCAAATATTGTGCAACAAACTGTTTTTGTACACAGCCTAGTACAAAGCAGGTAAGCTCTAAGTTTGTTTTGCTCATCTGATTGAGACTGAGCTGTACTGAGGATGATTGCAGGAGACATTCAGAGCACATCTGATCACACAGATGCTCTGTAATTACAGCGGCTTGCTGAAATGTTCAGTCTCTCCTCTCAGGTGTGACGCAACAGGAATCATAATGAATGACCCGAGAAATTAAACCACAGCAGGCTGTTTGGAGCGGTGCTGGGTTTGTTTCAGGCTGCGGATCACAAACAAACAGTCTGAGACTAACATCCCTTACATTCAGCCTCCATCAGTCCTGCACCTGCACACACATGCATCTGCCTGTCTCTCTGTGAATGTATGTGCAGAGGAGGAGCGCTTTGTGTGTGTGAAGGTCACCGCTGATTGAATAGAGTTCACTTATAATGCAGGAGGACAGAGCACTACAATCCAGAGAGAGCGACCAAGTTTATTGCTCAGAAGTTGCTCTTTCATACCTCAGGAGACTTTATTGGAGTTTTCATTTGCATAGTATTTAAGAATTGAAGTAAGCTGTTTCTATTTGTTTAAACCAACCCATATGAGCTATAAAATTAATTAGGGTATGTTTGGAATGCAGTATGAACATTGTAATGAAATAACTACAATAGATTAGCTATTTTTGCCTAAATTTACGGTAAAAAGGTACAGTTCTAACATATTTTGAACAATATAAGTATATTTATATTATGATAGAGGTAATATATTCACAGTAGATGGACAATATATAATAATAATGGAAGAAAATATATGATATTTATGATATATGACCTTGGACCACAAAACCAGTCTCAAGTGTCACTTTTTCGAAATTGAGATTTATACATCATCTGAAAGCTGAATAAATAATCTTTGCATTGATGTATGGTTTGTTAGGATAGGACAATATTTGGCTGAGATACAACTATTTGAAAATCTGAAATCTGAGGGTGCAAATTAAGTTCTTAGCAATGCATATTACTAATCAAAACTGAAGTTTTGATATATTTACGGTAGGAAATTTACAAAATATGTTCATGGAACATGATCTTTATTTAACATCCTAATGATTTTTAGCATAAAAGAAAAATCTATTATTTTGACCCATGGCTATTGCTACAAATATACCCGTGCTACTTATGACTGGTTTTGTGCTCCAGGGTCACATATAGGCCATACATATATATTATTTTACTGTAAAAAATAATATGTGAAGCAATAAGTATTATACAACAACAAACTACTTCTAAGATATTTCCAAGACAACAATTGGACTGCACTCATTGTATTACGGTAATTTTCGAGTTCATATGGAGATCTCTGATATTTGATCGCAGACTTTGGTATCTTAAGTGAGACAGTGTCGACATATCTTTTGAACCCCTAAATAAGATGCATGTGAGATATCTTTCTGAAGACAAACTTTCATCACAAGATATCTGCACGTGTTTCCGTGTGCAGCACAGATACTGGACAGAAGCAACAGAACCTCTGCAATGTGCCGGCGTGTCCTAACGTCCTCCGCGCGCCTCTCATAAGCCTGCTTGCCTTTCTTTTCATGTAAGAGTTCCAGAAACCTCTTTTGAGAAGAACTGTCTCAGACAGATGGAGACCAAAACAAACACTCCTTGTGCAGACAGAAAAGACAAGCATACATATTCTTTATTAATACTTTTCTAGTGATTAGACTAAAACTTTTACTGGACAAAGAATACAACGTGCTTTGAAAACGCCTATAATCAGTGCACGCTGCCATTTGAATTTAAGAAACGTTTTTTGTTACTACTGTAAAAAATAATATGTGAAGCAGTAAGTATTATACAACAACAAACTATTTCTGAGATATTTCCAAGACAACAATTGGACTGCACTCATTGTATTACGGTAATATTCGAGTTCATATGGAGATCTCTGATATTTGATCGCAGACTTTGGTATCTTAAGTGAGACAGTGTCGACATATCTTTTGAACCCCTAAATAAGATGCATGTGAGATATCTTTCTGAAGACAAACTTTCATCACAAGATATCTGCACGTGTTTCCGTGTGCAGCACAGATACTGGACAGAAGCAACAGAACCTCTGCAATGTGCCGGCGTGTCCTAACGTCCTCCGCGCGCCTCTCATAAGCCTGCTTGCCTTTCTTTTCATGTAAGAGTTCCAGAAACCTCTTTTGAGAAGAACTGTCTCAGACAGATGGAGACCAAAACAAACACTCCTTGTGCAGACAGAAAAGACAAGCATACATATTCTTTATTAATACTTTTCTAGTGATTAGACTAAAACTTTTACTGGACAAAGAATACAACGTGCTTTGAAAACGCCTATAATCAGTGCACGCTGCCATTTGAATTTAAGAAACGTTTTTTGTTACCTTTAAATAATGTTATAATCACTACAAGAAAATAACATTGTAACGTTCTTAGAATAGGACTATTAAAAATAAACGTTTAGATAACGTTATATTTTTGTTAAAAAAAATAACGTTAGAAGAACGTTGTAAGAAGCATTTCAAAAC